AAGGGCCTGAGTTCAATCCCCGGTTCCACAAAAAAAAAAAAAAAAAAAAAGAGTAGCTGGATCTCTTGTGAGGGCCGGGGAGATAGCTGAGTAGGATAAGCACGCGCACGGGCCTGAAGTTCAGTCTTTATAGGCCTGGCCAAAAGAAGAGAACGAGTCAGCTGGGACATAAGCCTGCCTAGTTCTTTCCCCTCTGCAGCTACACGTGAAGTGTAACTTCTAAGTCAGCTGCTAATAAACGAAGACTACAGCCAACTGGAACACAGTCACGTGTGTGTGTGCTCACACTCTGCTTTGGAACACTGGGGTTTATTACTGTGTCGTGTCAGACTCTACTTGCAAGGACAGTGTCAGGTAACCTCACTGAGAATGCTTGCTGATTGCAGTTGGTCCGGGTGAGATAGCCCTGGGTAAGGGGAGTGCTGCTTTTTCATGGGGGATTTCCTAACTGCTAGTGTGAAATTTCAGGGGCAGAGCAGATCCTCAGCTCGGTAGTGTTCCCAGGCAGTTGTTTAAGCCGTGATGCCAGCACCACGCACTCCAGGGAGGGGCAGGGCAGAGAGACCAGATGTACCACTCTACCCAGATGTTGGAGCCTTCCTGGGTTCAGAATGTCCTTCCAAGCAGCTGTCCTCCCTGCCGTGGAGCTTTGTTTGCTCTGTGTTAGGAAATTCCCCCCGATAATCTGGTTTGCTCCCAGAAGTTTTTTATTTTGCTTTTTGTTTTGACCTTGTTATGATGCCTGAGCTGACCTTGAACTCCTGGGTTCAAGTGATCAAGCTACTCTTTTTTTTTTTAAACATAAAATGACTATATTTCAAAACATAACTTCTGTACAAGTAAAACACCAAAGAACATAGGAAACATGAAATACTTTCACAATGACAATGAATGATAAAACATTTTTACATATGAATTATCTATAGTTTCTTAGGAATCAGTAACAGATTGTTGCTATGATGGCACGTGAAAACCAAAAGTGAGGGCCGGGGAGATGGCTCAGTAGGATAAGCGCATGCTTGGCAAGCGCAAGGGCCTGAAGTTCAATCCCTGGTTCCACCCAAAAAAAAAAAAACCAAAAAGTGAGATGGTTTAAATCATGCCATATAAAAATGAGATAGCTTCATATTACATGATAGCTTAACATTAAGAACGAAAAACCACTTTTGTTATAATTTATCATCAATTATTAAAATCTAATGGTCAGTTTTAGGAAATGGTGAACTTTTGATTTCAACAAGCATTTACTTGAATTAAGAGGAAAATTAATTTTGTCATGATCCAAAGAAATAATTCAAATGCAGCCAAATAATTCACCTTTACACAAGCATATGTGGTACATAGAAAACTTATAGCTAATACGCATTTAAATAAATTCGTGTAATATTACTTATGAGAAAATAAAATTAAGATGTAAGTCATTCTAAGTCAAAATATTTTGAAAAATACCATGTACTGGGCTGTGGTAGTTGAGCGAACAGTGCCTGCCTTGCAGCTGCAAGGTCCTAAGTTGAATTTCTGGGGTCAAGCTACTTTTGCCGAGTAACCAAGACTGCAAGTGTGTGCCAGCATGTGTGGTGCATAAAGCTGTGATCGTATAACTCTTACCAAAAAGACAAAAGGCAAATTCTGTAGTTGATTTTAACCTGAGGGAACCTAGCAGTTGTAAAAGCCCTGAGCAAAATCCTCCACAGTTGACTTTTGGATTCATTTCATTAAAAAGTAAACTTTGCTTCCACATAATCATATTTTTTTCCCATAATTTTATTGATAAATAGCAATGAGACAGTTTCAAATCAAATTGGTAGGACAGTTTCAGTAATTAACACACTGCATACATTCTTCCTAATGGTTAATTGCTGTACAAGAATCATTCTATTGACATCAGTTATTTTTATTTTAAAGAAAGAAAAAAAAATAAAAACAGTGGTACAAAATCTCAAAACAAGATTTTAGGAGAGTAACAATGGTTAGTACATTGTGTGTTGTTATTGCCAAAGTAGTTTCTCATATTACAAGACATAGGCAA